ACAAAGATCTACCTCCTTCAAGCAGAGCCATAATAGGTGTTAGGGATAACATTGTTTTACCCTAACTGTTTTGGGTAAAGATAATAAAATGATGAATCATGGTTTGTCAGATAAAGTGTATGTGACTTTAAGCTAAAGGAATGTAATTAAGGGTGCAGCTGTAAAAGTACTATATAAGCAGCAAGGCACTCTCTGGCTCTCACTGGCTGGCTTATTGAAGACTGCGTTCTTGCTGAAACGGGGAGTGGAGAAGTGTGTTGATATTTCTCAACGGAGAGAAGATTGGACTGATTTATTGTAAGTGTACTGACATTGGCTATTCAACACGGACTTTGCAAATAGAGTATCCCTGACAAGACTTGACTGAAATTGATATATGACTACTGGACTGTTTACATGACTATGCTATAATTCTTAAATGGAATAAATTATAATTTTGATAGCACAAGCGTATCTGTATTTTTACTGCGTGTTAACGAGAAGGCTTATCTCACACATTTATCTGTCTTCCTATCTGACTTCGCTGCACGTTCTGTTTAGTTTGTTTTCCTTAACACCCGTTGGGGAATCCAGGCTTAACAATAGGAATTGCTCAAAACCCCTTCATTGCATCACTCACCAAGTTTCAACCAAACTTAGCACACAGACAGCCTACAAAGCTAGCTATGACCTCTGACAGCAAACAATCAGAATACTCTTCCTGTGCCCCTGGAAGTTCAAAGCCAGAGAGGGTATCAAAAACCCAGGTACTCTTAGCATCTCTTCTCTTTTTGCCCCAGAGCTCCAAGGAATGTGATCCTGTCCACCAATAAACCATCTTTCCAAGCAGTTACCATGTTTCCAGTGTATTTCTTTTCCCCGCTTGCAACTGAACCCAGAAGGATATTTCTTCCAAAAAAATTAGCTTATACTTCCAATGTTGGTGGGATATGTGATTTTCTCCTTGGTAGTTCCTTGATTAGGGTATTGCTTTCTACTTGTTTGATTATTTGTCTGATAGAAATCCTTGATTATATAACTATTGATTGCTGGAGATAATGTGTTCTGGTCTTGTTTCCTTCTTAGTTTTTTATTGGTTTTTTTAATGATATGTAAATGTGGTTTATCTCTATTGATGGCCGATTTGTCTGAATGCTAGAATTCAAGGAATTCCCTAGCATTTTTTAATTTATTTTGGTCCAGAATGCTCACAGTTTCCCAGTTGAAACTACCTGGTATGTTGAGCCAGCCTATGTTATGAGTTTAAGATGTTTTCATTGTGTCTTCTAATTGCTAGTTTATGTTCATGCATGCGCTCTGCTAGTCTTCTGCCTGTCTGTCCTACAGATTGTCTGTCTAATTGATTTTTGATTAAAACAAATTGGAAGACAAGAAGGTAATATTTTAGACAAATGCTACAAAAGATAATTGATCGACAAGCTTCAAGGCATAGAATTATTACTAAGGGAAATCAGAATAGCATTACCCCCCCCCCAATATATTACTTACCTGCATTTTCCCATTTATAAATCTATTAACACTTCATCAGAATAAAAGAAAAACAAGGAAAAACAGATATGTGCCCTATAACATATGGCCTGTTACATTTCTGTTGGGAAGAAGAAATCCAGTCATGCCAAGCTTCTAATCTTTGATTTCTTGCCATTTACTTGCCATCTGCTTTTAACCTACATAACAGGGTTAACAATAATCTATTTAATAATCTCTTATAATTTTGACAATCATATTCATCCTATAACAATTACCTTATAGGAATAGACAGGTAACTGGGACTGTCCAACAATGGATGGTAAAGTCAGATTTGTAATTCATCCATCGCAACTAGAGATGCTAGTTCTTCAATAGTGTTTCATCATGTGAATAACTGAGATGTTTCTTTGTTCTTGGAACATTGATCTCCTATATACCACAGCAGTGATATTGACACTGCTGATGTCCATCCAGTTTTCTTGGCAACATTTTCAGAAGTGGTTTTCCATTGCCTTCTTCTTAGGGCTGAAGGCAGGGGTGGAATTCAAATTTTTTAACAACTGGTTCTGCGGGTGTGGCTCAGTTGGTGGGCATGGCTTGGTGGTCATGTGACTGGGTGGACATGGCTTGGTGGTCATGTGACTGGCTGGGCAGGGCCAACTCAACATCACTCACATCGAGGCATGCATCTCCTCGCATGGCCTCTCATGACTGTGGGGATGCTGCAACAGTCGTAAGTGTGAAAAAGGATCATAAGTCACTTTTTTTCAGTGCCATTGTAACTTTGAATGGTCACTCCACACAAGCAAAGTACCATCAAAGGAGGGGAAAAAAACTCCAGAGACGTTCCTGAGACAGGAAGTCTAGTCCTGCCAAGAATGTAATAAGGGTTAATGGAGAGGCAGTTTCTGTCAGCAACACCAGAATGTTTCCTTCCTGCCTTCCTTACAGGATTAGGCCAGCAATTTCTTCTAACAACCGGTTCTGCTTAGAATGTTAACAACCGGTTCTAGCGAATAGGTGCGAACTGGTAGAATCACACTCCTGGCTGAAGGGGGTACTGGCCCATGGTTACTAGCCTGACTTTTAGCTTAAGGTGGGACCAGAACTCATGCTCTCCTGGTTATTAGCCCAGTGCCCTGACCATAATAACGAACTGCCTCTCGAGGTATAATTTACTAAATAAATGTGCATAGGATTATGTTGTAAATCATTGTCAAGTGAATTTTCATTGTCAAAATCAATAGACACGTCTCAAACACAGCCATCTCTCTTGGGGCATTGCTCTATGCTTTTTGTGAGTTGACTTCTCTATTCCCCCCCCACCTCTTTTTTTTTTGCTTCCACTCCAAATCAGCTTTCCAAGCATTAAAATGGTAAAGATTCCCCCGAGCCAAGCTGCTCCTGGTTACTACATGTTATTAAAAAGGTTTTGTTTCAAAAAAATCTTTTGCAGCCTTCCCTATTTGGTCTGTTCTCCCTCAGCTTCATAAGAGAGTCACATCACTGCTGTCCTGCTATCCTGGGGGAGGCAGGGGCAATATGCAAGCTATTACACTCTCCCACAACTTTGATGGAGCTTTGTAGACTGTTAGCTGCCTTTTTAAAAAATTCAATATCTGCTTGTAACTGAAAGTGTCAGTGAGCAGGGTGAATGCTTACAAAGGCTTTGTAATGTGTTCTGTGGCTGCCTACAAAGCAGTTCAATTTGTTTGCTTTCCCCCAGAATCTTTGATGTGCAGCAACACAGAACCTAGATGGTGAAATCTGGTTGTAACCTAAGGAGGAGGAGAACAGCTATTAACTTTTAGTCTGCAGACTGATCACCCATCATCCCAGAAGCCCTTAACATATGGTACAGTTGTACTAATGCTGTAAGATTGCCAGAGCCACAGATCTGCTATGCGTGCCAGGTCCCTACTAGCCCCACACTCTTTGATCTTTATGACCCTAAGCTAGCAAGCTTTTAAAATGTCACCAAGTCACCATCCAACTACATCAAGACATTCTAGCAAACCTAGTACACAATGTAAACACATATTTGCCCTTCATATTTTTTTTCTTTGCTTGAAAGGAATATCAAGAAAATATTTGAATGGCCAATTTAAGTATTTCATTAAAAAAGGTGAATTGGGAATATAATGTCAGCAAAGAGTGTTTATTTGTTTTTATTTATTTGTGTTTATTTTCATGGTCATGATGTGCACTGAAGATGGTGTTTGATTTCCTTGTACGAGGTGCAATGACAATGAAGTAAACTAAACTAAACTAAAGAGGGGATTTGCAAAAAAAAAAAAAAAAAAAGGACAATAAACAGGAGGGGCATCCATGGGATATGGCCAGAAAAGATAAGATAGTGCAATGCAATGGTAAAATTACAACTCTGCCTGTTATTTATATGTGTTCCATTTGTGTTACACATTAAAAAAAATAGCCAGGAATGCCACGTACCATCATGGCCTATAATTTTCAATTTGTTAAAATCATTATTCATTGGCCATTCCTGATAGACAGGGGCCAATGCTTCTTCTTTTCTTATTTGTTTCTCTCTAGAAGCATGTTTTCTAGACTATCACTGTTCCCAGAAATGCTACTTCGCTGTTACAATCTTATTTAGTTTGCATTGGTTATTTTGTTTTTAGCATTTTTGTTCTTCAGGTTTTGTAGACCACCAGAATCTTGTTACTTAAATTGGGCAGACATATAAATGTTTTAGATAAATAAATAATCCTTAGCTACCCAAGCAACCCCCTTTTTTTTTCTTGAGGGCTGAGGGGCAAAATGATGTAATCTGACTGTCCCTTATGCCTAAAAAGTTAGCTCAATAGAGACTTCTTGAACTGAGACCAAGCATGAAGATTGTATCACATTTAGCATCTCTATGAATCACATTAATTACACATCTAATTAGGAAACACCAAATTAAAAATAAGTAATTGACATGACTAGGAAATCTTGCCAGGACCATGGCAGATTATGAAAACCACTTTCTATGAATTCCAAAACAGCTTCTGTTAATTTCACAGTGGAAAGAGTATTGTTTCTAAGTGCTACAGTAAAAGATAGTGAAAGGGTTCAGCAGTTCATGCTGAAACAACTTACAGTCCAACTTTAAATTGAAGTCTACCTTCATTTTTGCACTCCTTCATTGTCTGCTACTCTTTTCCATTGCCTTATGGTTCATTGCTGACCATAAATGTAGCTCTTCCTGCTTCAGGTGTACAAGCACAATATGTGACTATCAGAAAGATTGTGCATCCTTAGAGTGGGGCCAATGAAAGATCACAGCTGCTTTCTTGCAATGTGTAGATCATTTCATACAATTACATTGTGAAGGAGAATAATCTCACTATAGCAACTATAAGTCTCCAGGGGTGGCGAGTTATAGTTCACATGTGTTCAACTACATTTCCCATGATTCTAAGGAATCATGTCCATATTAAGAATTGTAATCCAAGCTGAAGAAATGTCTTTAGAGGTAAATATCAACCAGGTTATGAAAACCAGTGACAAAAACTATATGAATGTGTTTTGTTTTAAAGTCTATTATTAATGTAAGAATCTAAGGAGAGACACAACATAACTATTTCAGCAGGCTAGTCTGACACCAACTGAGAAAATTCTATTAATTTCCAGTAGTTGAAAGCCACAGGGCAATAATTAACACAGAATATGTATGAATAAAAGACAATAGTGAGTGACACTGATTTGTAAAGGAAATATTTATTTATATGTGAGATTTAATATTTCATTTCTCAGTCCAGAAGGACTCCCACAGTGATTCACCAAACAATAAAACATATGGAACAAAAAAAACCTAATATAGCCATTTCAGTAGAAGAATTATGGAAAGTAGCAGAATTATGGAATTATGGAAAATTTCAGCAAGTTTCAGCAAAAGATCAAATTTCTAACAGGACTTTTAAAGCCCATACAAGTCAACAAGCCTTTATCCAAGGTTAAAAAGACATTGCATAGTCCTTCCAAATTCAAGGGCCATGACTAAGAAGGTCTTCTACCTGATCAACACTTGGCATATCTCCTAAGAGATAACTGTACAAAGGCAAAGTAATTTTTATTACTTTGCTAAATTTATGAGAAAAGGCTATTATATTTAATATATGTGCCATGGCCTAGTGGTTAAGATGCTGGGCTTGTTGACCAGGAGGTTGGCAATTTGAGACCTAAGTACTGTATGACAGGATGAGCTCCCATTCTTGCATAAGCTCCTGCCAACCTAGCAGTTCAAAAGCATGCAATTACAAGTAGATAACTAGGTACCACTTTGGTGGGAAGGTAACAATGTTCTGTGTACCTCGACGTATAGTCATGTTTGCCACAAAACCACAGAAGCATCTTCAAACAATGCTGGCTGCCTTGTCTAGGAAATGGAGATGAGCACCAACCCCTAGCTGGGTAGGGGAAACATATGTATATATACATATTTCATGATAATAATTTAATGAGGACTTTGAACTGAACTCAGAAATAAATTAGATGATTTTGTAGCTGCTTAAAGATTGGAGGTATGCTTTGTGTACCTTAAATACAAAGGCAGACCTACATATAATATTTTGTAAAAATCAAAACATGGAGATTAGCACAGCAGTCTCCAACAACAGTAGAGCTCCATGTAAGCTGCTATGACTTTGAAAATAAAGGTGGTGAAATTTTCAGTTCCCAAAGCAGCATGTATGTGGAATGGAGAACAGGATTTAAATCAAGATGGTTATTTTTCCCCCCAGATATTAAAATAATTGGGGGGAGCGATCTTCAACTGCAATTCTTCCTTTAACCTTGAGGAATATGAGTGATTGTCCTTGCATATCCTCTTCAATACAATTGTATTCTTGCAAATTACCAAATACCTGTAGCTGTTATACCCTACAAGCTACAATACAGTGACTTCTGCTGTGGAGCATGATATCCAAGGTTACTCATTCTATTTTTATTTTTTTATTTATTTTTATTTATTTGATTTTTCAATCACTTACGAGATAATAGGTATAAGTATAAACATAGTTATGAATACATGGATACGTATAAGAAAAATAAAAAGAAACAATAGGACAAGGACAGTAGACACGTTAGTGCGCTTATGCACACCCCCTACAGACCTCTTAGGAAAGGGGTGAGGTCAATAATAGACAGTCTAAGGTTAAAGTTTTTGGGGTTTGAGGAAGAAACCACAGAGTCAGGTAGAGTATTCCAGACATTGACCACTCTGTTGCTGAAGTTGTATTTCCTGCAATCAAGTTTGGTGCGGTTTACCTTGAGTTTGTATCTATCGTGTGCTCTTGTGTTGTTATGGTTGAAGCTGAAGTATTCATTGACAGGTAGGACATTGCAATGTATGATTTTATATACTATATGGACTGAAGGCGGCGTAGTTCTACGTTTTCTAGGTCTAGAATTTCAAGTCTGGTGGCATAAGGTATCCTGCAATGAGTAGAGGAGTGGAGAACTCTTCTTGTGAAATATTTCTGGACTTTTTCAATTGTGTTAATATCAGATACATGATATGGGTTCCAGACTGATGAGCTGTATTCGAGTATTGGTCTAGCAAATGTTTTGTATGCTCTAGTCAACAGAGAAAAAGCTACATAGGATTAGGTTAACAACTCTTAATGCCTTTTTGGCTATGTAGTTACAGTGGGCTCTAGCACTTACATCTTTAGAGATGAGTACTCCAAGATCCTTGACAGAGTTTGGATCCTCAGCAAGGTCTTGACTATTCAGCTTGTATTTTATTTTCTGATTCTTTTTGCCAATATGTAAGACAGAGCATTTATTAGTTGAGATTTGAAGTTGCCATTTGTTTGACCATTCTGATACATAGTCAAGGTCTTTTTGAAGGGTAGCAGTATTGTCTGTGGTGTTGAAAAGGTTTACAACATCAGCGAAGAGAACGCAGTTGCTCTTAATATGATCACAGAGGTCATTTATGTAGAGTATGAAGAGAATTCATACTTCAATATGAGTTCATATTCTCATATGCCCTCCTTCCCAGTAGATGAGTTGGTTTGTTTGTAAGATTGTTTGTTTTATTAATCAAATTTATACACCATCCACCTCCCAGCCTAAGTGACTCACTCAGTAGAGGTATTATATGTGCAGGTGTAAAGGCACTCAAGGCTATCTACTGTTCTGCACTAGATGTAGCTTCCAGATACTTTTTAAGGGTAAGACTACATAGAGTGCAATGCAGTAGTCCAGATGGGAGATGACCATAGCATGAGTGACTAAGAGAAGGGTTTCCCAGTCCAGAAAAGGATGCATCTGGTACACCACACATAGTTGAACAATGGCCCTCCTAGCCATGACTGGTACCTGCTCTATGAGCAGGAGTTGTGAGTTCAGGAGGACTCCTAGATTGTGCATCTGGTGTATCAGGGACAGTGCAACCCTATCCAAGAACAAAGATGGTAAACCTCCAGACACAGAAGAGTTCCCCACAGCCACTCCTTTTATCAGCGTTCAGTTGAAACAGATTGTTTCCCATCCAGACCCTCACAACCTGCAAGCATCCTGAATGCAAGCATTCATTGTATCACTTAATTCACCTGGAATGGCATATTCAATTGGATATCATGCGCACACTGATATTTCATCCCATAGTGATATATGATCTCATTTAGTGGCTTCATGCAGGTTTCCAACAGATCACTACAGATCTGAGTGGTGAATTGACAAGAGTCCTATCATGCTGGAGAAAAGGTTATCTGAGAAAAGTTATTTTTATGCATTCTGTTCCTCAGTTCCAATATCTCAAGTATGAGGCCTGGTACCTAGAACTAAACCTTGATGATTCAAATAAGATCCTAGAACTGGGAGGAGGAAGAAAGAGTAGTTCTAAAGCATAGATTTTGGATATCTTTCATTCCAAAAGTCCATCCAGTCCAACATGGGAAGTAATCTCAACTAAAGAAAAGGGAGGGAAATGCAAGGCCAGTGAAAGAGACTGAAGAAAGGCCTTTAAAAGCTACTTATGGTCCATAGGCTGCAGATCGCCCATCCCTGTTTAAAGGGAGTTCGACTCCATTAAAATAAATAAGTCCATTAAAATAAATCACTCATTAGTGAGATCAGAACAAGTTTTGTCTTCTTTTTTTTATTTTTACTTTATTGGCTTTCAATCTATTATTTTTTTTAAAAAAAAAAACATCAGTTCCGAATCTTCAGGCTTCAGCTAATCTGACAGAAAGGAGATACAGTGTTGCATTTCTGTCATATATTAATTTATATTTTCTTTTTTTTTCTTTTTTTGGAAAAATACTTTATTAGTTTTACCTTTAAAAGAACAACACAGCTACAAGTTATGTACAACAAAAAGACAAACAGGCCTTAGCATCGGCCAAGAGGGAAAGAGAAGAAAGCCTAAGAGAGGAAAAAGGGAAGAGTAAGGGAGGGAAAAGGTAGAGTAGGGAACACAGTTAAAATAAAACCATATTTTGTGACTGTCTGTAAGATCTTTTCTTCTTCAAAAATATTGTCGGCGGTGCTTTTCATTATCTCTGCTTCGGAGGCCCTCGGCCATAATTTTCCTAGAGGTGATCTATCTTTGGTTTAGCCAATTATACAAAGGATTCCAATTATTGTAATAGGATGAGGATTCTTTATTTTTTAATGCTTGGGTTAGTTTGTCCATTTCGGCACATTGTAAAATTTTCTGAATAACCATATGTTCAGTGGTAATGGAGGGTAATTTCCAGCACTGGGCGAATGCCAGTCTGGCTGCGGTTAAGATATGAATTACAATATACTTCGATTTTTTGGGTATTTGTTTATCGAAAATTCCTAGAAGGAAGGACTCTGGTTTGTTCTCAGTTTGTTCCTTGGTTATTTCCTCTAGCCAGCGCCTAATTTTTTGCCAGTACTTCTGGGTTTCCTTGCATGACCACCACATATGGAAGAAGGTACCTTCTATGCTTTGGCATTGACAACAATTGGGGCTCGTGTTGGGGTGCATCTTTGCCAATCTCGAAGGGGGCAGGTGCCATCTATAAAACATTTTATATGCTTTTTCTTTATAAGCTGCTGATTTCGTGATCTTAATGTTCCTGTTCCAGATCCTTTCCCATTCTGCTAAGGTAATGCTCCGCCGCACGTTTCTGCTCCACGCAATCATATTTCCTTTGACAATTTCTTGTTCTAGTTCAGTTTCTAATAAATGTTTGTAAAATTTAGATATATTTTTTTTTGCTCGGTCCTAATAGAATTTTGTCTAAAGTCTGTAATTTATTGTAGATTCCAAATTCCTTAATATCTTGTTAGTATCTACTATGAATTTGAAGGTACACCCACTGATCAATTATAAATCCTCGCTCTTGTAATTCTTGTTGTGTTTTCAGTTTTCCTTGTGGTTTAATAAATTTTCGTACTTAATCATTTTAGTTATATCCAAATTATTAGGGTGTACTATCACTTCCATTGGAGATAGCCAAATCGGTATTTTTAGATAGAGTTTTTTATGTACTTTTTTCCAATTGGTTAATAGAGAGTCCCTGATAAGATGCCTATGGAAATATGATTGCCTGGGTTTCCCAGTTTCCCACAGAAAGGCATGCCATCCTTTCTGCATATCGTGGCTGTTAAGTTTGGAGAATAATGGAGACCAGACATCTGACCAGTGACTTCAAACTCTTTAATAACAGTAAATAGAACAGAACAGAGCAAGGCTATGGGCAGCAGTAACCCTTTTATAGGGTTGGCTGCTACCCTATTAACCAATAATATGTGCAACAAGTTCAACTAATACCCAATAAGAAGTGTCCTAATATTGGCCAATCAGGGACTTGTTATGGACCAATCCTTGTTCGTTGTTTAAGGACCAATCAGGTGTGCAGGCTTTCAAAACCCGCTTTGCATTTGGGCTTAGTTACTTTTTATTGATTCACAACAGTGGCCTTCTAATATTAGTGTTCTTTTGTTGGTTAAATTCACCCATTCCTTTATCCATAGTAGGGTGGCTGCCTTATAATATATTTCCCAGTTTGGCAGGCCTAACCCTCCTCTGCTTTTCAAATCTTTTTTTTAAAAAACAAGTTTTATTAATTTTTAAAACACACAAATCATCATTATCCATTACATGTTTAAACCTTTTTCCATTATAAATTTAACAAGTCAGATAAACTATAATTCTGTTTTAAACCATTTCCATATAAACATACAAAAACCTCTTATCCAATTTCTCTTTATTTCTCTTTACTCTTATTCAATTTTATTATTATTATTTCATCTATTTCTTTCTGACTTAGTTACCATTATTCTCATTCTATATTTCTGCAAGGTTTTATTAATTCTCCCCCACCCACCCCCCCAAAAAAACATATACACACAACACACAAAACATAAAAAAAATCTTTTTGGAAAGTAACTTGGACCCAGGTATCTCTCTCTTCATGGACTTCAATTATATTCATGCTCATCTTACATATCATTACTTATTTTATTTACCATTCTAAGTCTTCTATATTAACTTCTCCACATATTTCACTCTTCTTAATTCTATCTTAATTAATCATCTTAATTTGAGTCATTATATTTGTATCTTTTGTCCATTCTTTATTGTCCCTTTGTCTCGTTCCTTATAAAAAAAAAAAGAAGTTTCTCCTGAAATCACTAATCAGAGTATGATGCCTTTCTATCTCCCCACTAAATTAATCAAATTAACCTTTAAAATAACGCCCAATACCCAATCCGATTTTGCTTGGTACATTACATCCAGAATAATTAAATACATAGTTAAACAATAGATCTAAATATTAAAAACAAATACTATAATAGAAATTTTATAATAACATCAATACCATAATCTTATTAAACTCTTTAATTAAAACTCAATATTCTAAACCTCCCATCATATTATTAAATTTTAAAACCAATCATTATTAAACATTTCAACATTTTAATCTCTTATCAACTCTTAAACCATTTAAGTTTTCTATTTCTAATACAATACTACAATATCATCTTATGTACCTTGCAAAATCTCTTTGAAGAAATTATACTTTATCCTTTATCCCTAAAAAAGATTCCTTTTTTCCCATTTAATTTCAAAACTTTGTAGCTTTTCTCCACCTTTTCCCTTTCTTTCTTCTCCCAACAAACCTTTCTATCCCGCCTTCTTCTAGCCTCTGCCTTACTGGCTTCCCTTCTCTGTCGTATTCCTTTTCCCTTTTGTTTACTATCATTATATTGATTTTGCACCTTATTTTTCCCTTTCTTAAGTGTTTTTTTAAATCTTAAGTCCTTTATTTCTCTTCCTTTCCCTCTTCCTTCTTTCTTAGTCGAGTTCTGAAATTTATTAAAAATGGCTTCCTCTCCTTCTTCTTCTTCTGCTGTCTTCATCTGTTGTAATGTTTGTTGATAGTTAATAAGCGCCATTTCTAAAAAAAGGAAGGCTTCTTTCAAGCCAGCTTTACCATTTTTTTTGCTTGTTCATAATCTTTTCTCAGTTCCTCAATAGAAAGAGCCATTATAAATCTTTTCTTTTCTTTTCCCCTTCTTTCTTCTTACAACAACCAGAATATTCCAAAGAAAAAATAAAACAGTCCCAAAGTTATCAATCAGTCCAAACCAAGGCAGAGTTCTCACTTTCTCCTCCTGGGGTAGTATCAATCAGAGAAAAAGAAAGTCCAAATCTGTTTCTTAAAATCTTATTGCAATATATTTTAGTCTTCAAATCCTTAAGGCATCTCCTCCAACAAAGTCTTAGCATACAAATATTTTTTTTTTAGTCCTCTCTCTTCCCACTCATCGCTTAAAGCCAGTTTTCACCTAAAAAAAAATAGGTTTCTTAATATTCACTTATTTATTCCGTAGGAAAAGAGGGTAAGCTTTCCTTTCAGCACCATCAAACTGCCGCTTTTTTCCTCTTCTAGAAGGTATCATTCAGAAAGTCATACTTTTCAGGAATTTTGTTAAATATGTCTTAGAGTCCTAGGAACCAAGAAAAACTTTCTCCTTTCAAAAACTTTCTCCACTTCCTCCTGCGCTTTCTTACCCGGCTGCCAGCTTCTTTGTGGCGGCCATTACGGACCGCCGCTGCACCGTCTTGGAAAAAGGGGGTTCTGCCAGCCGGGGAGGGGGTCTGCAACACCCCCAAACCCCTCTCCGGATCCCCCCTACCTTCAGCTGCCCCTGCAGGGCAGCCTAGCTCCGTACCCGTCCGGATCGGAGCCCCAAAAGCGGCTAGCGCAGCAGGGATCGCGCAGCTTCGCGAATCCCTGCTGCTCGCGAAGCCGACAAACC